CAGGGAACACAGGTGACAGGGAACGCAGGTGACAGGGAACACATGTGACAGGGAACACATGTGACAGGGAACACATGTGACAGAGAACACTTGTGACAGGGAACACATGTGACAGGGAACACAGGTGACAGGGAACACTTGTGACAGGGAACACAGGTGACAGGGAACACTTGTGACAGGGAACACTTGTGACAGGGAACACATGTGACAGGGAACACACATGACAGGGAACACACATGACAGGGAACACACATGACAGGGAACACTTGTGACAGGGAACACAGGTGACAGGGAACACTTGTGACAGGGAACACATGTGACAGGGAACACATGTGACAGAGAACACTTGTGACAGGGAACACATGTGACAGGGAACACAGGTGACAGGGAACACAGGTGACAGGGAACACTTGTGACAGGGAACACTTGTGACAGGGAACACACATGACAGGGAACACTTGTGACAGGGAACACTTGTGACAGGGAACACATGTGACAGGGAACACAGGTGACAGGGAACACAGGTGACAGGGAACACTTGTGACAGGGAACACTTGTGACAGGGAACACTTGTGACAGGGACACAGGTGACAGGGAACACACATGACAGGGAACACTTGTGACAGGGAACACATGTGACAGGGAACACATGTGACAGGGAACACATGTGACAGGGAACACAGGTGACAGGGAACACTTATGACAGGGAACACACATGACAGGGAACACATGTGACAGGGAACACATGTGACAGGGAACACATGTGACAGGGAACACATGTGACAGGGAACACAGGTGACAGGGAACACTTGTGACAGGGAACACACATGACAGGGAACACATGTGACAGGGAACACATGTGACAGGGAATACATGTAACAGGGAACACATGTGACAGGGAACACTTGTGACAGGGAACACACATGACAGGGAACACTTGTGACAGGGAACACACATGACAGAGAACACTTGTGACAGGGAACACACATGACAGGGAACACATGTGACAGGGAACACATGTGACAGGGAACACAGATGACATAGAACACTTGTGACAGGCAACACAGGTGACAGGGAACACACATGACAGGCAACACAGGTGACAGGCAACACAGGTGACAGGGAACACAGGTGACAGGGAACACAGGTGACAGGCAACAGACACACCTGGCCAAGCGCTACCACTCACCAGTAAGAGAAAACGGCTCAGTAACAGTGAGGGGAAACTGAAGTAAACCGTCACAACAATGACGCGGCCACCTCACTACACACTCTTGATTTGCCACTCCGTAAAAAAGCCAAACTATTAGCCTATCCAGAAACCTACGCACCCAACCAACCCACCTAACCTAACCTGTCGAGTCCGATACATAGAAAATGTCAGTATTTGTGAGCAGTTACTTTTCTTAATACATTCTAACGTTAGTTATGATAAGACTAAAGAGGCGACTTAGTAGCATAGACAACAAGTTACATTCAAACACTACTTCATCAAGAAATTTACGGAACAAATTACGAAACCTGTAGATCTTTCCTTCGTCATTATTACTATTTATTATTATTATAAACAATCTCCTAGTGCTTCATAAACCTTTTAATGAATATAAATAAACGCAAAATGATCGAGAAAAGATGTACAGGTTTCGTAAATACTAGATGAATCCTTACTGAGTATATTTGATGAAATAATAAATAGTGCAGAAGTTGAGTCAAGGGAAAGAGCTCTCAGGTGAGCTCAAGGACCTCTATAAGAAGATCAACACAAGATCTGACGTGGTAAGAACATTTTAACTCTAGTTAAATGCATTTAACTGCATTTGTTGTGTTAAGATTTACTACGTTAAGATGTTAAGGTGAAGCGCAGAGCCCAAACGTTGGTCCCTCGCAAGGCTGGCGAGGTTATGTCTGAGATGGTTGGGTCATGTCTGAGATGGTTGGGTCATGTCTGAGATGGTTGGGTCATGTCTGAGATGGTTGGGTCATGTCTGTGATGGTTGGGTCATGTCTGAGATGGTTGGGTCATGTCTGAGATGGTTGGGTCATGTCTGATGTCTGTGATGGTTGGGTCATGTCTGAGATGGTTGGGTCATGTCTGAGATGGTTGGGTCATGTCTGTGATGGTTGGGTCATGTCTGAGATGGTTGGGTCATGTCTGAGATGGTTGGGTCATGTCTGAGATGGTTGGGTTATGTCTGTGATGGTTGGGTCATGTCTGAGATGGTTGGGTTATGTCTGAGATGGTTGGGTCATGATGAACGATAGTTGGGTCATTATGAACGGTGGTTGGGTCATGATGAACGGTGGTTGGGTCATTATGAACGATAGTTGGGTCATTATGAACGGTGGTTGGGTCATGATGAACGGTGGTTGGGTCATTGTGAACGATGGTTGTGTCATTGTGAACGATGGTTGTGTCATGATGAACGGTGGTTGGGTCATGGTGAACGGTGGTTGGTCATGATGTGGGTCATTGTGAACGGTGGTTGGGTCATTGTGAACGGTGGGTGTCATGATGAACGGTGTTGGGTCATTGTGAACGGTGATGAACATGATGAACGGTGGTTGGGTCATTGTGGTTGGGTCATTGTGAACGGTGGTTGGGTCATTGTGAACGATAGTTGGGTCATTATGAACGGTGGTTGGTTGTGTCATGATGAACGGTGGTTGGGTCATTGATGAACGGTGTCATGTGAACGGTGGTTGTGTCATGATGAATGGGTCATTGTGAACGGTGGTTGTGTCATGATGAACGGTGGTTGGGTCATGGTTGATGAACGATGGTTGAGTCATGATGAACGGTGGTTGGGTCATTGTGAACGATAGTTGGGTCATGATGAACGGTGGTTGGGTCATTGTGAACGATAGTTGGGTCATTATGAACGGTGGTTGGGTCATTGTGAACGGTGGTTGTGTCATGATGAACGGTGGTTGGGTCATTGTGAACGGTGGTTGTGTCATGATGAACGGTGGTTGGGTCATTATGAACGATGGTTGTGTCATGATGAACGGTGGTTGGGTCATTGTGAACGGTGGTTGGGTCATGATGAACGATGGTTGTGTCATGATGAACGGTGGTTGGGTCATTGTGAACGATAGTTGGGTCATGATGAACGGTGGTTGGGTCATTATGAACGATGGTTGTGTCATGATGAACGATGGTTGGGTCATGATGAACGATGGTTGGGTCATTGTGAACGATAGTTGGGTCATGATGAACGGTGGTTGGGTCATTATGAACGATGGTTGTGTCATGATGAACGATGGTTGGGTCATTGTGATGAACGGTGGTTGTTGTCATGATGAACGATGGTTGGGTCATTGTGAACGTGGTTGTGTCATGATGAACGATAGTTGGGTCATGATGAACGATAGTTGGGTCATTATGAACGGTGGTTGGGTCATTGTGAACGGTGGTTGGGTCATGATGAACGATGGTTGGGTCATTGTGAACGGTGGTTGTGTCATGATGAACGATAGTTGGGTCATGATGAACGATAGTTGGGTCATTATGAACGGTGGTTGGGTCATGATGAACGGTGGTTGGGTCATGATGAACGATGGTTGGGTCATTGTGAACGGTGGTTGTGTCATGATGAACGGTGGTGGGTCATTATGAACGATGGTTGTGTCATGATGAACGATGGTTGGGTCATTGTGAACGGTGGTTGTGTCATGATGAACGATAGTTGGGTCATTGTGAACGGTTGTTGTGTCATGATGAACGGTGGTTGGGTCATGATGAACGATAGTTGGGTCATTATGAACGGTGGTTGGGTCATTGTGAACGGTGGTTGGGTCATGATGAACGATAGTTGGGTCATTGTGAACGATGGTTGTGTCATGATGAACGAGTGGTTGGGTCATGATGAACGATAGTTGGGTCATTATGAACGGTGGTTGGGTCATTGTGAACGGTGGTTGGGTCATGATGAACGATAGTTGGGTCATTGTGAACGATGGTTGGGTCATGATGAACGGTGGTTGGGTCATTATGAACGATAGTTGGGTCATTATGAACGGTGGTTGGGTCATGATGAACGATGAACGTTGTGTCATGATGAACGGTGGTTGGGTCATGATGAACGATAGTTGGGTCATGATGAACGGTGGTTGGGTCATTATGAACGATAGTTGGGTCATTATGAACGATGGTTGTGTCATGATGAACGGTGGTTGGGTCATGATGAACGATAGTTGGGTCATTATGAACGGTGGTTGGGTCATGATGAACGATAGTTGGGTCATGATGAACGATGGTTGGGTCATGATGAACGATGGTTGGGTCATGATGAACGATAGTTGGGTCATTATGAACGGTGGTTGGGTCATGATGAACGATAGTTGGGTCATGATGAACGATAGTTGGGTCATTATGAACGGTGGTTGGGTCATGATGAACGGTGGTTGGGTCATGATGAACGATAGTTGGGTCATTATGAACGGTGGTTGGGTCATTATGAACGGTGGTTGGGTCATTATGAACGATAGTTGGGTCATTATGAACGGTGGTTGGGTCATGATGAACGATAGTTGGGTCATTATGAACGGTGGTTGGGTCATTATGAACGGTGGTTGGGTCATGATGAACGATAGTTGGGTCATGATGAACATGATGAAACGATAGTGGGTAGTATGAACGATAGTTGGGTCATTATGAACGGTGGTTGGGTCATGATGAACGATAGTTGGGTCATGATCATTATGAACGGTGGTTGGGTCATGATGAACGGTGGTTGGGTCATTAGTTGAACGGTGGTTGGGTCATTATGAAACGATGGTTGGGTCATTGTGAACGGTGGTTGGGTCATTGTGAACGATAGTTGGGTCATGATGAACGGTGGTTGGGTCATTATGAACGGTGGTTGGGTCATGATGAACGATGGTTGGGTCATGATGAACGATAGTTGGGTCATTATGAACGGTGGTTGGGTCATGATGAACGGTGAACGGTGGTTGGGTCATTGTGAACGGTGGTTGGGTCATTATGAACGATGGTTGGGTCATTGTGAACGGGGTTGGGTCATTGTGAACGATAGTTGGGTCATGATGAACGGTGGTTGGGTCATTATGAACGATGGTTGTGTCATGATGAACGATGGTTGGGTCATGATGAACGATGGTTGGGTCATTGTGAACGATAGTTGGGTCATGATGAACGGTGGTTGGGTCATTATGAACGATGGTTGTGTCATGATGAACGATGGTTGGGTCATTGTGAACGGTGGTTGTGTCATGATGAACGATGGTTGGGTCATTGTGAACGGTGGTTGTGTCATGATGAACGATAGTTGGGTCATGATGAACGATAGTTGGGTCATTATGAACGGTGGTTGGGTCATTGTGAACGGTGGTTGGGTCATGATGAACGATGGTTGGGTCATTGTGAACGGTGGTTGTGTCATGATGAACGATAGTTGGGTCATGATGAACGATAGTTGGGTCATTATGAACGGTGGTTGGGTCATTGTGAACGGTGGTTGGGTCATGATGAACGATGGTTGGGTCATTGTGAACGGTGGTTGTGTCATGATGAACGGTGGTTGGGTCATTATGAACGATGGTTGTGTCATTGTGAACGGTGGTTGGGTCATGATGAACGGTGGTTGGGTCATGATGAACGATAGTTGGGTCATTATGAACGATGGTTGGGTCATGATGAACGGTGGTTGGGTCATGATGAACGATAGTTGGGTCTTATGAACGGTGGTTGGGTCATGATGAACGGTGGTTGGGTCATGATGAACGATAGTTGGGTCATTATGAACGGTGGTTGGGTCATTATGAACGGTGGTTGGGTCATTATGAACGATAGTTGGGTCATTATGAACGGTGGTTGGGTCATGATGAACGATAGTTGGGTCATTATGAACGGTGGTTGGGTCATTATGAACGGTGGTTGGGTCATGATGAACGATAGTTGGGTCATTATGAACGGTGGTTGGGTCATGATGAACGATAGTTGGGTCATGATGAACGATAGTTGGGTCATTATGAACGGTGGTTGGGTCATGATGAACGATGGTTGGGTCATGATGAACGATAGTTGGGTCATTATGAACGGTGGTTGGGTCATTATGAACGGTGGTTGGGTTAGTATGAACGATAGTTGGGTCATTATGAACGGTGGTTGGGTCATGATGAACGATACGGTGGTTGGGTCATTGTGAACGGTGGTTGGGTCATTATGAACGGTGGTTGGGTCATGATGAACGGTGGTTGGGTCATGATGAACGATAGTTGGGTCATTATGAACGGTGGTTGGGTCATTATGAACGATAGTTGGGTCATTATGAACGGTTGTGGGTCATGATGAACGATAGTGGTGGGTCATGATGAACGATAGTTGGGTTAGTATGAACGATAGTTGGGTCATTATGAACGGTGGTTGGGTTAGTATGAACGATAGTTGGGTCATTATGAACGGTGGTTGGGTCATGATGAACGATGGTTGGGTCATTATGAACGGTGGTTGGGTCATTGTGAACGGTGGTTGGGTCATTATGAACGGTGGTTGGGTCATGATGAACGGTGGTTGGGTCATGATGAACGATAGTTGGGTCATTATGAACGGTGGTTGGGTCATGATGAACGGTGGTTGGGTCATTGTGAACGATGGTTGGGTCATTATGAACGGTGGTTGGGTCATTGTGAACGGTGGTTGGGTCATTATGAACGATGGTTGGGTCATGATGAACGGTGGTTGGGTCATGATGAACGGTGGTTGGGTCATTATGAACGGTGGTTGGGTCATGATGAACGGTGGTTGGGTCATTGTGAACGGTGGTTGGGTCATTATGAACGATGGTTGGGTCATTGTGAACGGTGGTTGGGTCATGATGAACGATGGTTGGGTCATTGTGAACGGTGGTTGGGTCATTATGAACGGTGGTTGGGTCATTATGAACGGTGGTTGGGTCATTGTGAACGGTGGTTGGGTCATTATGAACGGTGGTTGGGTCATTATGAACGATGGTTGGGTCATTGTGAACGATGGTGGGTCATTGTGAACGGTGGTTGGGTCATTGTGAACGGTGGTTGGGTCATTATGAACGATGGTTGGGTCATTGTGAACGGTGGTTGGGTCATTATGAACGGTGGTTGGGTCAT